CTTCTCCCTAAGAAGGCCTCATTTGTAATCGACTACAAATACTAGTGGATTCATTCAAATTGGGCCAGGCCCCGTGGTTTTTCCCCCCTTTTCAGGGAGTTTCCAAGTAAAAACTCTGGTGTCTCTTATGAACGCTACACCCTCTCACTTATCTGATTGTGTGCTGGATCTTCGTACAATGCTAAGACGTTAAACTATATATTTCTCTACCGCCGCAAATATTTCAGGACGCAACAAGTACATATTTTTATAAATTTACTTAAATGGCAGATTATTTTAACTCGGCTAGATCCCATAATTTTTTTCTTTTCAAGATTTTCATATAAGAATTTTTGTGTCTTTTAAATAATTTTCATCTAAGGGAGGTTAGGATCTTCATATAAATCTAAAATTATGAACTTTTTCTCAATTACTATGAATATTCCAGCACACAATACTACTAAAAAACTATCTTTTCTCTCCTAAAATTTTATCATCAAATGTCATCTATAAATATAACTCATATTACATAAAGATTTTGATTTAGTGACATAGCTTCACCATGGATTTTTTTTAAGTCTAATATCTATTGGGCTTCATTTGGGACAGTTTTATATCACTATTTTTATTTTTGCTTTCAAGAGATTTTTGAACTAAAAAATAATTTTATGAAACAATAAAAAATCATATCAAACTAAGTATATCTCCATTTCTAATTGCTTGAAATAATTTTAAAATCTACTCATTTCCTCAGCTTAAATATCACCAATAAAAAACCCCAAAGAGTTTTAATTTATTTTCAAAGGAAGTCTTTTTACAATCTTAAAGCTTCAAAAGTTTTACAATGTTGACAAAAAGTCAAACAAATTGAAAATCAGTGGTCATTAAGGGTAGGAACTATGAAGCTAAACAAGTCAACTTTCTCCTCTCTCCACTAAAACTTTAATCCGGACCTTATGGCCGCACATTTAATTACATTGGAATTTATTTCTTTAACTTTGGCTTGCAAAACGTTTACTTGATTGAAGAGCTTTTATTTCTTTAACATTGACTACTGAGACTTATTCAAAGGAAAAGTGAGCATCTTTCCTTTCACATTTTGCTTGCGATTGATTTTCTAAATAATTAAGGAAATTATCTTTCTTTTTTACAAGTCATGAAATAGGAAAATAATTTGGTCGAAATATTATAATTAAATTATTTTTATACTTATTAAACTTAATTAAAAAAAGATTTTCATTAAACTTAATTAAAATAAATATAATATATCATTAATTAATTAATTAATTAATTATTTCATAATATTTATTTTAAAATAAAGTTACTTCATCATCGAAAATTACAGGCTGGCTAATGGGCATATTTGGTTGAGCTGGTGAAGTTGCCAGGAAGAAATCAAGAGCTGATATATCCTCAAAAAATTATCTTGACCAGGCACGAATCTCGACGTGAAATCAACCCAGAAATTTCAAAAATTAAATTCGGGATCACCTGAACTCCGATTTCAGCAAACTTACAGTCAAACTGAGCATCTAGGAAATACGAACCCAACGACACCAAATTTGACTAAGTCCGAGCCCAAATGAGTCCAAATCAAACACCCGAAGCACGGTTGGAAAGTTCAAACCATAATTTGAGTTACCAAGCGGTTTCCAAATATGACATTCTTATAGTTAAACCGAGCGGCTCGACGAGACGAATTCAACGAGCCCAAGATCGCTGAATTCCAACATCAATGAGACCTTTAAATGTCTGATAAACGGTATATGATCGAAGGATTCAATATCGGCCGTTCATCCGAACCACTCCATATTTGCCCCTGATCTCTCATCCATTTACGGACCATGCCACTCCATAAAATCTATAAATAGACCCCTCATTTCTCATGAGAGGGGACCCAATCAAGAATAAGAGAAGAGAAGGATAGGAGGGAATAACTCCTCGAACATCGTCGGAGCTCTGCCCGATGCCCGAGTGACGCTGGAGTTCTGTCCAACACTCATGTAAACTAAAGTTCTACCAGACGTCAGAATTCTGCCCAACTTCTGAACGACGCCGGATTCTGCCTGACCTCCTAAGGATGCCGAAACTCCTCCTAATCTCCAAGTGAAGCCGGAACTCTGCTCGACATTGTAACTGATTTTTAATCCTGAAGAGATTCATTGTAATCTGATCGTCTTAAATTTTTAAGGATGAGTTTGCCTCTTGTATTTTAAGCAAATACTAGTGAAACTCTTTCAACTGGGAGTGGCCCTATGGTTTTTCCCCTTTCAGGGTTTTCCACGTTAAAATCCTGGTGTTGCTACTTTTTCTCTGTTTGTGTGCTAGATATTCGTACAACGCTGAGACGAAAGTTTTTTAACTCTATCGCCGCGTATATTCTAGTCCGCAACAAGAGCTATGAAGGAAGTTTGTGGGATGATGCAGGTGAATGCCGGAGAAGAAAGGGGGAAGAGTCTTGATGTATTTGAGTTGTCTTCAAATGACTGTTTTTGATATATTCTATCATTCTCATTTGATAAGAGAATATTAGATATATATCAAGAAGTTCAGTACAATCTTAGCATTGAAGTCAAGAATTAGAGTTAGGCATCGTTTGGGACGGCTTTTTTACTGCTTCTTGAAGCAGCTTTCTAGTAAAAAAAAATTAATTTTTATACTAAAAAACTGCTTCAAGAAGCAAGAAAAAAGTCGTCCCAAACGAAGCCTTAGTGTCGACATTATTCAACGACTTCATTACTTATGGCATGCATGTTTCAATGTTTGTAATGATAGGTGATGAAGTCGAAGGATATTGACATTTGTATAAACCTTATAAGCAATGACATGTATCGACATAATGCATTGACCAGATAGGTGAAGGTGGACATTAGCACTATTGGCGATGACATGAGACAAAGTCGATGGGTATTAGTGTAATTGGATAACGGTTGTCGGGAGACTGTAGTTAAGCGATGACGGTAAGGAGATTGCAATCAGATGGTAGTAGTTGGGCAACAATGATAAGACTGTAATTAAGAAATAATTTTCATTAATATAACTAACTTATTTGGGTGACAGCGACCGAGCTAAGATGGACTAGTGAGGACAATCTGATGATGGTGGTTAGGTGACGGCGGTTGCTAGGATTGATAGTCGATATCGAATGTTGGATGGAGGTATGGAGCTCTAGCCTCTCTACAAATTTAGCTTAAGGTCTCATCTCTCTTCTCCTCCCTAATCTCTCAAAATTGAGTAATCCAACGTCCATTGAATTCCTCTCGTTTAGCCGCTCATTTTGTAGCAAGAATACTAAATTTGAATATCGTTTGATCATTCAATAAATGTAACAAAATTTTCTAAGTGCTTGATTTATGCCATTTGGAGGTGAAATTATTTTGTGCGGTTATCAGACATAGTCCGGAGGTAAATTAGGACGCACCACGTCACGTTTTAGCTGTGTACCGGGTGATGTGGCGCATCCCGATTCACTTCTAGACTGTTCAGTGACTGCACAGAATAATTTCTCGATTTGGAGTTGGATCAAATCACTTTATATGTCATTGAATTTATATTGTTGAGATGTTGAGTTCCATTATAAACTTACTGAAATCATATCTAAATAATCTCGAAGTTATTCTAAAATTCTCTTACATTAAAATTTGTGTTTGATTAAAAGACTTTCTAATGAGATATGAATGAGATTATATATATATATATATATTCATTTGTGATAGTTGAAAATAAAGAACGCGGAAAAAACATGCATGCTTCAAATTCGCACAATGGAGAATTTTAACACGGTGAATTCTGTATGAAGTGGACTAATTAGCCGAACAATTTTTTAAAATATATATTATTTTAGAAAAATGGAGTGTAAGAAATTGGATTGTTGCCTAATTATTTTTTTTATTTAATAAAAATACTACACTTGTTAGGTCCAAAGCGTAAAATTAGAAAATTGAAGGGTTGTGTTAATTAGTATAAATTATTTAATACATTGTGTTTCTAACAGAGTGGGATAAAAAACTTGTTTTTGCAATTTTTTAAATCTGAATGGAGCTGTGTGACATAATTGCTTTGTTGTTACATATATATTTAAAATATAATAATTATTTTTAAAAAAATTAAAACACGTTTTTATTATTTTTTTCTCTTGAGTTTTTTTCATAAAAACTTTTTCTCTTGCTTAAAGAAAGATCATTCAAGCATTGTGGATAGGAGTGTAAGTGAGCTCCGAAGCTAGCTCATGGGCCAGCTAGAACTCGACTCACCAAAATAAGCCAATCTCCAGCATTCTTACTCAGCTCGAGCATTCAAGTTGAGCCCGAGCCTCACATTTTTCACTTGAGTTGAGCTTCAGCTCAATATAAATTGAACGAGCTTGACTCGATTAAACAAGAACTCAACTCGACTAATTTACACCTGTAATTATGTGAATCCTTGAAAGACCGAAGTAAAGAATATCATTTTCTCTACGTTAATCACCCAAAGAAATCTTTCTAAATATTGACTTAAACATCACATTAATCTCTTGAGAAACTCCTCATAGAGTTAAGATCAAGTAAATCCAAATTAGACTAAAATTTTTTGGAATAAATGAATTCAACTCAAATCAATATGCATTTTCAATATTGTCAGCTTGACTCAAAACAAAATGAGTTCAAGTAAAACTTTAATTAATTTTGCTCAAATAAAAAAAATCATTTAATGAGTTTAATTTAAAGATTAACTTAGATGCCTTCCACAAATTTGACTATCAATCTTTGATTAGAAGACCATGACTTCATGATAGGAAAAATTATTTTGTGCGGACACTGAACGGCGTCCCGAGAGACAAATCAGAATGCGTCATGTCAGTTTTTTGCTTGGTACCGGTGCTCGGTATCGATATGTACCGGATGACGTGACGTATTTTGGTTGATCTCCAGATCATCCGGGGTTCACAGAGAATAATTTCTCCCATGATAGAAAGCAACCTTAATGGGTCAGAGAAGCTCATTTATTTTCTTAGATAATTCTTCTATAAATAGAATATATCAGAGGAGAAATAGGCAACTAATTATATTTTAATTACATAGGATTCCACCATATATTGCTAATTCTACTAAGAAACAATAGAAGATTCTCATGTCTGTATTAAAGAAATATCAAAATTAAAAGAAAGCAGTATGCAACTATAGGAGAGGAAGAAGGAAGCCATATGCAGAAGCTTCAACTGTTCAAACCACACTCCTTTGGTAAGCAATCCAATAAGTTCAGCTATCTTAGTTGCAGCTTGCGTTCCTGACCTGACTCTGAGAGAAATCTCAAACTTAGGCAATTATCTCTGCTGGCATTTCCATAAATCTCGTTCGTTTCTGAAGAAATTTCATGGAGGAGGTTAGAAATTGTGCTGATTATCAGAAACTTGAAAATTTTGGGCACAAACAAACTACTTTTGTATCTTCTTTCTGTTTATTTTCCTAAATTATTGTTCTGATTGTCATAACAGAGATGAAAATGATAATAATCCAACCTTTTTCTAAGAGATGTAGGAAAATAAACAGAAATAATATACAAAAGTCAGATCAACCAAATAATATGCAACTTCTGTGATGGATTTTAGATGACGAGTCAGGCCTGGTTTGTTTCGGCATTTTTTTTATTTTTTTTGTTTAGAAACAGTGAAATTATTTTTTGTTCGCTGCTTGGATGTGACACTTCTATAGAAATATTTTTTAGGAAACTTCATTTTTCTACTGTTTTGAAAAGCGTTTTGATATTTGATTCTTTGTTAGAAAACTCCATTTCCTTAACCAATATTTCTAAAACTATTTTTTACAAAAGGAGAGGAAGAATCTAACGAAACCTCAAGGAAAAACTAGCGAAAAGTAAATTTTATCTACAAAAACTGGAAGAAGGTAAATTTCTACATATTAAACAGCTAGATGAAGAGCAGGTCAAAGAGCAGGAAATTTGGGAAGATAAGCCCATGTGTTGGTGTTGAAAAAATTGCATGTCTAACAAAACACCGCTGATTAGGAATATAGAAAGTCACCCTAAGCAAATAGCAGGAAATTTGGGAAGATAAGCCCATGTGATTGTTTGTTCTTTTAGTATATTTTTCTCCTTCGCTAAGGAGCTTTTGTTTAGATTGCTTAGGCTTTTAGAATTTTTTTTCTTTTCTTTCTTTAAGTTTTTTAGTTAAGACATTAGATAATAATTGCTAATTAATTAGTAAGATATATATATATATATATAAGAAGTTGGTCTTCTAAAAATGTTTGAAAAGCTGATGCCATAAACTATTAAACTTTTGAAGACAAATCATGACTTGAACAGTTTACACAAAATAGTTGCTCTATTGTTGCATGGCTTGCAAAAGTTTCTCAGTCTAACATCATGATTCTTTCAACCAAATGAAGACCGAGACTTGGATAAACTAATTATAAGAAAATACATCATAGTCATCATTAACCTTAGGCTTCGTTTGGGACAATTTTTTTATTGCTTTTTAAAATAGCTTTCAAGTACAAAAATTTTTGTACTAAAAAACTGCTTTAGAAAATAATAACAAAGCTGTCCCAAATAAAATTTTAATGGAATTAAAAACAGTATGTTAGGGAACATAAACGGTTAGATCAAGGCTAGTATATATATAGAGAGAGAGAGAGAGAGAGAGAGAGAGAGAGAGAGAGAGGTGACATGTAAGTCACAACAATAATTCCATGATTTTTTCAGCTTACTTTTTAACTGCATAAGCTATAGGAAATTGTCAATGAAGAAAAATGTAGTTATTCATATTTTCTAGAAAAATTCAAATACCTATTAATTACATTTGAATCAAACTTCCAACATAAATTTGTGAAGTAAAATGCATTTGTATTTCCTCCAATTCCTTCAAACCAAACCTAACCCTTAAGGTTGACAAGGTCTATTATATTGAATAAAAATCAAATTTTCAGAAGCAAACTGTGAGAAAAGTTTCAGTCTCATCCACTTGGGATCCTTATCTTCACCTTTCTCACCCACAGTGTTGCAATAGCTAATTTATGGGTCACAATATTTATTATATTGCTGAAAAACAGCTTTTTAATCAAATCTTGGGAACAGCCTAACTTTCTTCACTAAAAAGGCATCCACTTGCTTTGCTAGAATAGTAAATAAGTAAAAAGTTTAATTTAATGAGACCCCAAACAATATGCAATTGCTTTACAACAGCTTATCTTACTAAGAAGCAGGTAAAATGCTACAGAAAAAAAATGCTTGAGTTTGTTTTCTCTCTTCTGAGACAGCTATTCCTTGCTTTCTTTACCCATCTTGGTACTTCATATAAACATAAAAGATAATGTTCAGTAGTTAGGGCATCTCCAAACGATTGTAAGGCGTAACTGGCTTGCTCCATTTGAATAGCAAAAAAATCGCTAATTGGTGGAGGGTGAATAGTGCGACGCCAATATTGGCGTGGCACTTTTCACCTATGCAATTTTTCTGTCTCAACCGAATTTGCCGAAGAGACACGAAGAAACGAGCGAAAGAGGAGAAAGACGGTTACCTTCGCAGAAGCGCACAAAATGGAGTTCGATTGAAGATGAATCACCGCATTTTTGAGTTCCACTATATTTTGGAGTTAAAAATGAGATTTTTGTTTGGAGATGCCCTTATTCATCTAATTTCTTCAGATGTTCAACTAGAGAAATCCCAGGAATGAAGATTAAAGAAGCGCTTACTTCCAAAAAAATGGTAGGCCTGCTCTCCTTAATCTAATCTCTCTAACTTTTCTTCTTAATCTTCTTAATTAATTGAATTACCGTTATATAAAATGTGAAGTGGGTGATATTCCAAAAAAATACCTGTTGCTGACAGAATATGGTGGGAGTACAACTGAAAGATGATTAATAAGCTAATGATTTCTCCTAGGATTAAAAAAATGATAACTATGTATTGCTTTATTCATCAAAGCGACATGAACACTTAAAATGTTTTTTTAATTAGGTGCTCCTGAACCAATATAAAAAATAAATAGTCAGCTTAAAAGCACCAAAACCACCATAAAAAATTGTGAAGAAGATCATCTTTAAGTAAAGAAACAATGAAGAAAACAATCACTGCTTCAGCGGCTGAAGTTTGAATAATTAGAAATTGATTTCTATATCTAACTAATTTTTAAAAAAATTAATGAAACGATTTAAGTTCTTTTACCGTTATACTATTTAATAGTGAGAAATGAAGGAAATTTTGTCTCTTGTTCATGAATTGTTATGACTGGCTTCAAGATTTTAGTTCTTTACCATTTTCTTAGCCTTGAATCTAACAATTGGAACAGAAGAATAGGATCCTTTGCAGTTACTGTAGTAACGGTAGAGGATCCGCACCTCGTAGAGCTTAACCTAATCAAAGATTTGTTTTTCTTCCTAATATAAACGAAGAATTTCAATATCTATAGATACAAGCTCACAAAGTTCAAACTTTTACCTCCTTCCTCGCAGCTGGAGGCGTCGGCGGCTCCGGCGTCGACCTCACAGAAGCAGCAAGCTCCACAATCTTCTTCGTGATCTCGCCGACATCCCGACTTTCCTCCACAAGCTTCACCACCTCCGCTTTGGGCAACCTCATCCTCAACCGCATGCCTCCCTCCGGCGACTTCTCCGCCACAGCCACAGCAGCCGCCGCCGCCGGCTGGTGATGCACCGCTAGGTCTGAAACCGCTCGCCGCGACAGTAACAGAGATTCAAGCCGGTCCTTTGCTGAAACGCGTAGGTTGCCCGAGTAAGCGCGTCGAGTGTTACCTTCGGCGGGTAGGCGAGGGAGATGGACGAGGAAATAGAGGCGGCCAGCGCGGATGGGATCGCCTGCGGCGAGAGGGCGAGCGCGGACGCCGAGCGACTTAACTTCGTCGGCGTCTAGAACCGAAAACCCCGGATGGTTTTTGAGTACCTCGCCGGCGGAAACAGGGGGTTTTAACCGGAAAGCGGTACCATCGATCTTCATAACCTTCGCGGTTCTCTTTTTCCTTATTCCTAAACTGTTTCCCATTCTCTTCTTCAACTCGTTACGCTTCTTCTTCTTCTTCAAAGCTCTACCTTTTGCTATCCTCCTTCCGCCGTCGATCTTTTAGTGAAGAAGATGAGAAAAAAGTTTGTCGGTCAAAAAGAGAGGATGGGCAGATACGAAGTTAGCGAATGGATTTATACTCGCATTCGATCTGTTAACTAAAAAATCAATATTTTTAATACGTTAAGAACGGCGTAATTGGGAAGGTTGAATTCCAAGGAAAAAAAAGTCGTGATTGTCATTTCATTTAAAATTTCGAAGGGGGAGCGTTATAGAAAATAATAATATTTGAGCAAAAAGAAAAATTTGTACGTATATTTGTGTTGCTGTCGCGTCAAAGTTTAGTTATTGTTATGTGCAGTTCCACCGGTGCGTATTATATGGTTGAGAGTTCGTTTGGGCTGAATGCATGGCCCTAATTTGAAATAAATAAATTAAAAAAATGTTATGACAGATATCCTGATATTTTTTATATTAAATTAATTAGAAATATGTATAATAATTTAATCATATTATTTAATAATTTAATTATATAAAGAGATCAAAAAATGATGTTTGAAATTTGAGATATGTATCATTGATACGTCACCAAGAATTACTTAATCGGACGCAAATATTAATGCAATTTTGAATTAGAGACTTTCAAAATTAAACTGGGATCATTCAAATTCTGATTTCAATAAACTTATAGTCAAATTGAACGTTTTGATAAGATGAAACCGTATAACAGGAATGAGTAAAACAAAAGAAGGACTCAGAATTGCAATTCACAATAAGATCACCCAGGTATCAAAATTCATCCTTCAGGATGTATGGTTCCCCTGGTTGCCAGTCGGCCGTCCAAAGGGGTTGCAAAGAGAATGCTCATCCAGCAGGTGGGGCACGAGAAGAAAGCTAATGCCAGAGAATCGGAGACCAGATCAGTCATTTCCACTTTGAAATTTTAAGATTCACAGTACACTTGATCTTGGCAATAATAGTGTTTTGACAATCAATCAGGTTGCCAAAAAGCCTGTCGTTCCGTGCTCGCCAAAGATGGTAAACAATAGCACAAAGAAGCATAAAGCAATAGTTTTTCCTGCTTTTATCCATATCCCAATCCTCAATGCTTTGAAAGGCTTGACCCAGATTAGGTCTTAGAAGCATACAGTTAAAATAGGGAAATACCTTCAACAACACCTGGAAGGTAAACTCACACTCAAAGAACAAATGTTTATGATTTTCCTCAGAATGATGACAGAAAATGCAACAGGTGTTAACATCCAAACCTCTAGCAATAAGGTTATCAGCAGTTTTAAGGCCATTACGAAAAGCCATCCAAGTAGTAAGAGAGAAGCGTAAAGCATAACGTTTATGCCAAACATGCTTAAACCAGGTAACAGTTTGCTCGTTTAAAAAGAAGCCTTTGTGGAAAGAATTGAAAGCAGGTTTATCAGTGCCCGTCCAGAGACAATTACCCATGCCAGTAGAAATGGGGACGGCTAAGATCTCTACCTTGATGCTGGGTGGCAAAGAGAAAGGCAAGTTCCAAAGATTATTGACCAAAACCGAGTGAACAGGAAGGTGATTGGGTTGAATCAAATGTTCCATGTGTTCAGATTTAAGCCTATCAGCGATAGATAATCCACCGCACCAAGGGTCCCAAAAGAAGGACAGGGGAGAATTTTCAGTAATACTGAGTTGAAAGGAGGAGGGGAGCCTAGCAGCCACATCACAGAGGAACCTGTGCAGTTTGCCACAGATTGATGGCCTTGAGGCTTGTTTCCCTTTTGCTATGGTTGTAAACTTTTAAGAAGCATATCAGAATTTATCGTAGTCACAGCGTGGTTAAGTGCTGCACATTACGTAATGATGATTGCATTAATATAAGATATACGATGATTATCAATGCAAATTGATTTATCCCTTTATGTTGAGTACCCACCCATACCCACCAATAAGGCCATGGGCGTACCCATACCCACCCATACCCAATGGGTATGGGTGGGTACATGGGTGGGTGTGGGTATGGGTACCCAATGCAGGGCTCTGGTGTTCATATTTGAATTTGTTTATTATCAGCTTGTTCAAGTTCAATTTGAGTTTTTTTACTTGTGTTCAAGCTTGGTTCGCTTAAATTAATGAGTGTTTATGTTTGGTTCATGTTTGATTCATTATCAGTTTAATTCATGCTTATCGACCTTTAAATAAATGATCCTAAGCGAGCTATAAACGAACTCTACTTCTAGAAGTTCATTAACTTAACAAACGAGCCTTCTAATAAACAATTAAATCGAGCATGTGCGTAAACATATCTAAAAAAGTGTTTTAAATTATCAAACAAGATCGTTTACAAACATATCTAACGAGTATTTTTGAATAATCAAATGAACAAGTTCATGTGCATATCCAATTAATATTTTTGAGCTACCAAATGAGCTCGTTCATGAACAAACGATCTATGATTCATTTTATATTTTTTCATGAATATTTTAAACAAACAATCTAGCAAACATGAACAAATGTCTATTGTTCATGAAATTTATTAAATTTATTAATTAAAAATTATTATATAATTATGCTATAATAAATATAAAAATTATATATTATTTATGTTTATGAATTTTATAATCAAATATTAATCAAGTTTTTAATGAGCTTACTCATGAGTTCTGAATTGAACATGAATCGAACTTAATGTCAAGCTTGTTCACGAGCTTTTAATGATCTTGTTCGTAAACATAAATGAGCCGAACACATTATTATTAAAGCTTGTTTATTTAATAGTCGGCTATTTTAAAAAATGTTCAAATTTGTTTGTTTCGTTCATTAAACGATCACAAACTAGCTTTAATCAAACTGAGAAATGATCTGAGAAACGAGTAGCTAGTCGAACGCTCGGTTCGCGTGCAACCCTAGTAATCATCGATATGTTACTAAAAATAGTCTTAATTAGGCACAAATATTTAATGCACATCTGAAATTAAAACTTTAAAAATTAAATTTGGGACTATCTAAACTATGATTACACCAAAGTTGTTATCAAATTGAATATTTTGATAAGATGAATCCGACAACATCAAAATATATTTAAACCCAAATGGGCCCAGATCAAAGGACCAAAGCATATTTGGAAGATTCAAAGTATTAATTGAATAATCAAATAATCCCTAAAATATGGCATGCTTATAGTCGAATCGAGCGACTCAACCAGATGAATCTAAGGAGCCCAATATCACTTAATTCTAATATCAATAAGACACTTAAATGCTTGATGAACGTTCTATAGTCGAGGGAATCATTAAGGATTGTCTGATAGAGCATTCTGAATTTGTTCTAGATCTTCTTCATATTTACATGACATGTCACTATTAAAAGTTTATAAATAGAGCATCATTCTTCACATAAAGGGAGAGAAAGAAGAGAGAGAACTAGAGAAAACTTTTTTGCATTTTCCACCTATTGCTGTCGACGAGCAACACTACTAATATTACTGTTGACAACCACCATCATTACAGACGATCACCATCATTAGCATCTCCAGAATGCTAACAAGATTTAACCCTGTTGTTGACTTTATTTGTTTGCATGCAGACATCTGCTTCTTATACTACTCTTTATGGGAAAAGTCAAACCTTTTTGTTGGTTGTAAACTGTCCCTCTCTGATTACTTCATTTTTTGTAATTTTCCTCAGAAAAAATCAGACGTTTGTTCTCTCTTCTTCAACAATAAGGAAATGAGAATTCTTATATCGCTTAATACATAGTGGATTAGTCAACTGAGTCATGCCTTATGATTTTTCATTTCTGGATTATTCACGTAAATGTTTTTTGAATATTACTATTTTTATTTATGTGTGCTGAATTTTTTGTAGAAACGCTGAGATATAAAGCATATACTCTAATGACTCAAATTTATATTATATCAACTTTAAATTCTATTAAATTAGTATAACTTATTGATTATCATTTTAAAATAAATCTATTTAAAACTTGTGGAATTTTCTTATAAATTTTATGTTTCATATTTAATTCTCAACCCAATTGGTCATCTCACATGTGGGGGAGACCCACAAGGCTGCATCATCATAATGAAGCAATCAATATTAGTTGATATTTAATGTGAAAAAAAAAAAGTGTGCTCGTGTACTATTTTGCTTAGGATTAATGCTCGGCTTAGTATTTAGAAAATAAGATTATTTTTTAAAGATCATAATTTTGAGCATTAAATTTTGCTCATCATTTAAAAAAAAAATTAGCCACATAAAAGTAATATATTCTCAAAGTATTTGTTTGATAGCATTATATGCAAGAAATACCTCATATACAAATAATTATTGTGCTTTACTGAAAAACAAAATATTATAAATAGGAGCATGATATATAATTTATTTTGGGAATAGGAGCATAGTATTAAAAAATTAAAAAAAAAACAAATTAGACAAACATAATGGTGCATTCCATTGAATGTGTCAAACAATTCAGCGCATTCAATGGAATGCGCCTTTCTGTTTGGCTCATTCCATTGAATGCACCAAATTATTTGACGCATTGCTACAATATTTTTAAACATTAATTTGACTTACTGTGGTGAATGCACCAAATGATTTCGCTAGTTCTGAAAGCACCAAATGATTTGGTGCATTCTTTAGAATGTGTCAAGTGATTTGACTAGTTTGTTTCTTTTTTAAATTTGTTTAATATTTTGCTAATATTCCTAATTTAAATTAATATCATGCTCCTTAAGAAAAAACCTTTGAAAAATATAGAATAAAAATCATTCATATATGTTGAATTCAGTAAAATAAGAAAGCCATAATTTATTATTTCAAAAAGATAAATGACATAAAGTGGAATAGGATGCTCTGATGGCAGGGGTGTAAGTGAGTCAAGTTGACTCACGAGCTGGCTTGGGCTCGACACGATAAATGGCTCGTGATTCGAGCTTGATGAGCAAACGAGCCAAGCTTGAGCTAGCACCAACTTGACTCACTAGCTTACGAGCCGGCTAGTTTAAAAACTATTAAGCGATATCCTCAAATTTCTAATATATATTTTATGTTGTATTGATATCTTCTCTAATATATGGGAAGTTGAAATATGTTAACATATGATTCAATTCCTAAGCTCTTCAACTATTTTATATAACTTTTTAAAAGTATTTATTTTTCTGTAATCTTCTGCTAATTATATCTTATTTATGTGAAGATCTTAAAATATTGATTAGGTTAGACTTAATGACTTTGAGGCACTGAGCAGCAACTTGCGTCCACATAGCGAGCTGCTCTTGTAGACCAGCCATTAGAATTGCTCCACCAAAATATTTATGGCCTGTCATTATCTAACTAATGTACAAATAATTACGTTGATTAACTGTAATCAAAGCAATTATTAATCCTACCTTGTTGACTTACTGATAAACACCTATAAATATTTTCTAATACAACTTTCTTACTATTTTTTAAAGTATTTTTTTAATATAAAAGTTTCTTAAACATTGAAATTTTTGTACTAAAAAAAATGTTTTAAAAAATTGTAAAGACGAAAGAAACGGTTTCAAACAAAACCTTTAGTTGGGACTTGAGACAGCTTATTATTACTTTCTAAAGCAGCTTTTATTTTCAAAATTTTTATACTAAGGTATATCTAAAAAAAAAAAAAAAAATTGTTTCCACCCTTTTTCATCATTTGCTATAATGTTATAAAGAAGTTATGTAAAGAATGATTGACTTTTCTTGAAATTTTTTATATAAAATTATTGCAATAAAAGTTAAAAGCAATGCCACTTTTAGTCTTATTTGTTTTAAATAATTAATATTAATGATATTTTTATATCATTTATAAACAATAGATCAAAACTTCTCAATATAAATTGATAGATCAAATGATTTTCAATTATAGCATACTTATAGTTGCTGCGTTCTGAAATATTTTTTATTATAGAGAAATATAAAGTTTAACGTCTTAGCTTTGTACGTCCAACACACAATTAGATAAAAGAGGGAGTGTAATGTTAATAAGAGATACCAGAGTTTTTACGTGAAAACCATAATAAGAAGTAAAAACCATGGGGCTAGCCCAATTAGCATTGATATATCATCAAAAAATTATCTTGATCAGGCACGAATCTCGAGGTAAAATCAATCTGGAAATTTCAAAAATTAAATTCGGGATCACCTGAACTCTGATTTTAGCAAACTTATAGTCAAATTGAGCGTCTCGGAAATACGAAACCAACGACACAAAATTCAACTCAATCTGAGGCAAATGAGTCCAAATCAAGGACCCGAAGTGCTATTAGAAAATTCGTACCACAATTTGAGTTACCAAACGGTCTCCGAACTTGACGAGCTTAAAGTCGAATCGAGTGGCTCGACGAGACGAATTCAACAAGCCCAAGATCGCCAAATTTTAACATCATTAAGACCTTTAAATATCTTATGAACGGTCCACGATCGTAGGATTCAATATCAGCCGTCCATTCGACCACTCCCTATTTGGCCCTGATCTCACACCTATTTACAAGCTATGTTACTCCATGAAATCTATAAATAGACCCCTCATTTCTCATGAGAGGGGACCCAAGCAAGAAGCTAGAGAGAAAGAAAGAAGAGAAGAATAAGAGAAGGATTGGAGGGAAGAACTTCACGACCACCGCCGGACTTCTGCCCGACACCCGAGTGAAGCCAGAATTCCCTCCGACGCACGAGTGACGCTGGAATTCTTCCCAAGTGGCGTCGGAATTCTTCCCGACGTCGGAATTCTACCAGATTTCCAAACAACGTCAAAATTCTGCTCAACTTCCGAACGACGCTAGAGTTCTGCTCGAGGCCAGAATTCTGCTCGATCTCCATGTGACACCGGAACTCTGCTTGACATTGTAATTGGATCTCAATCCAAAAGTGAAGCATTGTAAATTAATCGTCCTAAATTTTAAGGACGAATCAGCCTCTTGTACTTCAAACAAATACTAGTGGAATCATTTCAACTGGGCGTGGTCCCGTGGTTTTTTCCTTTTCCAGGGTTTTCCACGTAAAAATCTTGGTGTTCTTTTATCTTATGTTTGTATGATAGATATTCGTACAACGCTCAGACGAAAATTTCTAACTCTACCGTCGCATATATTCTAGCTCGCAACAAACATGAATCCACTAATTTTTGCAGTCAATTGCAAATGAGACCCTTTCTTGAGGGAAGACCTTAGTTTCATAGCAAATATACATAATATAAAGTGAATTACATTATGGGAATTGAGCGGCCCCATGATTTTTTTTTTTTCATGGATTTACCACCTAAAACTTTTCTGTTCTTAAAAATTTTATCGATACATATTGAATGTTTGCCTAAAGCTAAAATATAATGAGTATACAAATATTATAGAAAAAGTTGTCTCATTTAAAATTATTTACCATAGATTTTTAATAGAAATTTTCTTATGAATCATCAATTAGCAATATTTTAATAGAATAAGTTGACCACGCCAATCACGGCAAATCCTTCGAAGCTTTTATAGCTACATTGTCCTATCAAAATAAATGTAAATCCAAGAATCTTAATTATTGCATTAATTAAAATTTTAATTAAATTAATTAACATTTCTGCCACTCATTAAAGAAACACATGGCACACCCAACTTTATAATCTCATTAGATTGAGAGCTAGTTATGTAGAGCCAGTTTTGAGTCTAGTCTTGACTCAGATCAGAATTAAAAAAAATTATTATAGCAAGACTCGAATTTGATTGAAAATTGAAATGATTTTGAGTCAATTTAATTTGACTTGGGCTTTGTTTGGAGCAGCTCTCTTACTGCTTCATAAAATAGTTTTTTAGTACAAAAATTAATTTTTTTTACTAAAAAACTGTTTTAATAAGCATTAAGAAAGCTGTCCAAAACAAAGTCTTAGTCTTCTTATTGTTCCCTAAAACAGCTTTATAATATAAATATTAAGTTTTTTACTAAAAAGTTGTTTTAAAAAATAATAAGAAAGTTATCATAAACGAAGCCTAAGACTTTATTTGAGAGGATTTTCTTATTGATTTTTAAAGCAGCTTTTCCTCACAAAAATGTTGTTAATAAGAAATTTTTGTACTAAAAAGCTATTTTACATGAAAACTCAAAAATGAAAAATATTGGAGAAACGATGAGAGCAATGTGTGCCATTTAAACAATCAAAGAAACTGATTGTGTCAATTGATATCAAGTGATGATGATCAGATGAATCTGCACATCGATTGTCAGTTGGCAGAATATGAGAATAAGATATCAACAGAGTGATGTGGTCATGTGATGATATTTATTGACGGTGATAATTAATGGTGAAATTTCTCAAATTTATAAACTTTCTCAATCTCAAAGTCCTCTTTACACAGATAAAATATATCATTCCAACCATTCATATTTCACATTTGTATCACTTACTCCTACCTGAAATTTTTTTCATGTTCAGACTATGAAGGTAACTCCACATCCACTATCCAATAAAAATTAGTCAATACAAATAATAATAAAAAAAACATGTAAGTCCCCATTACCCATCCTTTTTTAATTAACCAATGTGTCTGTCATCCATACCTAATAACTTCTCTCATATAAATATTGAGTAAGCAAATATAAGGTGGAATAAATCTCCCAAATGGAGAATAAGGATTTATTTGTGATGGCTTTAATTTTTTATAAAGATAATTAATATAAAATTATTATGGGGAAGTAAATTTTTTTAAAGCTGTTGTAAAAAGCAACTTTCAACACAAAAAATTTTAAATGTAAAAAAGTAGTAGCTAATTATGATTATAGTTTGAAAAATAAAACAGCAAGAAAGTTGTTCCTAGGGGTGTCAATTTAGGGTCACGGGTCGAACCCGGAACTGACCCGGGTTCAAACGGGTCGATCATAACCCGACCCGGGTAGATAAACTGGTCGGAAATCCGAACCCGGACCCCGGGTCAACCCGAACCCGACCCGTTTTGAAATCGGGTCGGGTTCAACCCGGATTTTTCGGGTCAGGTCCGGGTCGGGTTTTCATGTCGTGTCAAATATTAACACCCCTAGCTGTTCCAAACAAAACCTAAGCTGTAAGAGAATAACAATTAACAAGTTATATATAATAGCATATATACAAATTATTTCGTGTCAAGCTAATGAGCCAAACATTATGACAACATATACTCCGAGCTTTTATATATCATATTTGTATATTTGGTCAGATATATTTTAGCAGTTTGTGCCATTTAATTTAATATTAAAAGCAACAATTGAAGTTTTTTGTCCAATAGGCAAACAAACCATCACGAACCGCAAACATTTTCTTATTATTTTACCCTGTGATGGGATTAATTATTCTGTACGAATGTCGAACGTCGTTCCAAGACCAATCAGAATGCAACACGTTACCCCTTCATTCAGTAACGCAGTTTAGACCATTGACGTGACGCATTCTGGTTGGCCTCCAGACGGTGTTCTGTGTCTGACTTCCGCACATAATAATTTCTTTTGTGATGGACCGGCGCGATTGGATTGAACTGTTCTAGAACCATCTAGATCAATGACACAAGCGATATTCTCTTTGATGTGTGTAAAAATATGAAACAACCATTATTTACATAAATATTTGATCCAAATTTTTTGTCAGCTATATATATAATTATTGTGAAAAGAAAATTTTCATGTAACAATAGCCCTCAGAGAGTAGCATGGACCTAGCTTGTGTGAAGTAAGGGCAACATTAGCTAGGGTTTATTTTATATTATGTTTGCATAATAATGTTAAAAATAGTGATGTGTGGTTGCTATCTTGATTTCATGTGATGATTATTGGCTAGTGTGAAATTGGGGAGCTATGAAATATTTATTTAATTATATATGACTAAAGGGCCCAATTTATTCATTTTTTTTAATTTGTGTGAATCAAGTTGTCATAATTTAAGACAATATATGTTCATAATTGTCAAAATCTCAAATGCATTGGATATGGGTCTTAAATAAATCAAACATTGTAATCTCTTAATTCATATTTTTTGCAAATTTATTTTATGGTGAGGCATGACATAATATATGGAGAAGCATGACATGATATTGCACCCCCCTAAAAATGATAATTAACATTAATTATATACTCTATAAAATATTTATTACGCTCTATTAAAAATAAAAATTGATATATCCTAAAAAATTAATCATGATTGGGAAAGAATCTCAAGGCAAAATTAAGTTCGAAATTTCCGAATTTCGATTTCAACAAACTTACAGTCAAATTGAATGTCTCAAAATATGAACCCTATGACACCAAATTCGACCCAATCCGAGCCCAAATGGTCCAAATTGAAGACCTGAAGCACCTTTAGAATGTTTAAATCATAAATTGGATGACCAAAAGGTTTCTAAATGTAACATGTTTATAATCAAATCTAGAGGCTCGACGAGACAAATCCAACGAGCCCAAGATCGTTGAATTTTGACATCATTAAAGCATTCAAATGCCCAGTAAATGATCAATGATTAAGGGGATCAATGTCGGCCTTTCATTCAAACCACTCCCAACATATCTTTGATCTCCCTCCTATCATGCCGTTGTAAAAAACTTATAAATATACATCTCATCCTTCATAGAAAGGTGGAGGGAAGCAAGGAAGAGAGAGAAACTAGAGCTCTTTTGCCACCAGAATCTGATTCAACCTCGACTGAACCATTGAATCTTGAACCACTCTATTTTCCAGTTCTATCTCCATCCCGATTTTTACAACCTTGATTTTGACAAAGGGGAAAAATTACAAGCCATAATTTTGCTATGAATTCTAATATTTTTGTGAGAATTAAAAAAAAAACATTATAATATAATGAATAATAATCTTTCAAATATTATGTATGTAATGACATTCCCCCAATATCATCAAACTTACCATCATGAAACATTTTGCTAGCCCTCTTCAATCGCCACCCACCATTTTCTTATCAACTAATAACAATCCTGCCATCTTCCCGCTCTGCTGACAAAGCTTTGAATATAAATATTGTAAGGCAGAATTTCCTCTGAATCATATTTTACTTTATTATTAAGAAACACTCCTTCACAGTTTTCAAACGCCATGACAGAATTAGTTGTCCATAACGTTTAATGTGGCAGTTGTTGAAAAATCTTTCAACATGATAGATATCTTACAATAATTTATCATAGTTGAAGATGCAAATGCAAGTTGAATTTTGATGCTGCAGCGGCCTCATTGTAATAGCATTAATGAACATTTTAAATCTTTTGATGTATTTTTATATAGATACTTGAGCTAGCGGATCATTTCTCACGGGGTTTCCCCTCTGTTTCTTTTCATTCTCATACAGGTTCTTAGGTTGCACGTCTAGAGTAGAAGTGTCAAAATGGGTTGGGTTCGAGACTGACCGGAAATTAACTCGTCCTGAATTCGGTCAACTAAACCCAAGTAAAAACCCTCTAGCAACCAGAACCTAACCCGATAACCCGTTTTATTTAAAAAATATATCTTTATTAGCTTAGTACTTATAAATTTTAGGTCAATTTATGAACAATACGAAGATTATGCCAATAAATAAAAGAAATTAAGAAAAAAAATATTAAACGTGTCAATTTAGAGTCAATATTGGATTGACGGGTCAACCCAAACTTGACCTAGTTAATAAACGGCTCAAAAGACATGACATGTTATTAAATGACTCAATCTAAATCTGAATTTTTTAGGTTGGTTTTATGTGTCGGGTCATTTATTGACACCCCTACTCTAAAATTCGCAGGCTAATAAGGTCGGACAACAGCCACCAACAAATTTAAATTTAATAATATATGTATTAATTTGGAGCCTTATTTTAATTCATTTTTTACTAATATTT